GGGGGGGGTAGGATGGAAGTCGCCTCACATGGAAAGTCGTACGGTCCGAAGCAGGAGGAAGGTGGGGTGAAAGTCGCTTCGCGTGGAAAGTTGTATTCCTTGAATTCGTCCACCTCATACCTCTCTCCCTGTCTAAAGTTGTCTGACTCTTCATATAAAGTAGGGAAATAATTACTAACTTTGACTATTAATAATTTTTTAATTAATAACGAGCGAGGAGGCTAAAACCTGTTGAAGGTCATTCAGGGTCATGACCTTGACAATATATGTCAAGGTCATTGGGGCTGGGTTCCCTTTTAACAATATTTACCAATTATTATATACAATATTAATTAATTTATTATGTTACTTAATTCATAGGATATAATTAAAATAAAGCATCAAATCTTTTGAAATATTTTAATAAAAGGTTAAACGGTTTTTTTGCAAAAATTGAGTACTTGAAAACGAAATTATAAATATTATGTTAATTTCAAAATTGTGAATTAAATTAAATAATAAATTATTACAACATCGCTCTGTAAAAATCAATTAAAATATTCAACATTGAAATTATTAAAAAGTTATATAATAAGAATAATAACTTTTCATTGTACATATAAACCAAAGTTACATTTAAAGATGTTTCATATAATACAAATTTTTAGATTATGAGTGTTAATTTGAAAAACTGATATATAAGTACATTTCCTATTTACCGAAGAATCATATACCGCGATGAAGGGTAACAAAGATATAGCCCAACAGATAGCAAAAATAATTCTCCAATATAACTTGAAAAAGATGCCCGTTCGTTTTATATAGGTTAATTGAAGTGAAGGAATTTCGAATCTACAAAAAGATTGTATTTTAAATTAAGTTCTTATTAAATTAATAATTCTTTTTAAGATTAAAATTAAATTTTGTAAAATCATAAATTATTTTTATATAAATAATTTTTTATAGTAACGTGCAAAATTACATTCTGCTAGTGTACTCTATTCTATCTGATGGTACATATTTTTTACGTTTTTTGCAAAACCACTTTTTTATGTCAATTTTATTTTGTCGCACTAGACTTTCAATCTTTTATTAATGAAAATAGCAAAAGCATTATACCTATACAAGGTAATATCAAAAGTCATTTTACATATTACTTCAAAGAAAAAGACGAAATAGATTAAAATTAAGAAAAATTTATATTTATCGAATATCTATGGATTATATGTATATCATTATATACATTCCGAACATTATTATAGCTTAAGAACGTTACATGAAAAATGTTTAGTATTAGTAATGGGATAGATTAAAACGACAAGAACGAGAACTTTCACGAGAATTTGCAACAGAATCATTTTCATATATGAGTGATACAAAACCTTTGCCGTGTCTCAGATCCTATTTCAGCTTCATTTTCAGTTTCAAATACGTTTTTTACATCTCTTCCAGCCATAAATCAATGTTTTCTGCATAACAGAACTGCTCTTGAAATATAGGTTACGTTGTTTCGCATGTCACAGAAGAGAATCGATCTATGGTGTAATCATGGTGGAAGTATAACTTCCATGATAACTTCCATGGTGAAAGTATAAGCTGTATAAGTTCCATGGAAGTTTTACTTCCATCATCGATGTAATCGTGGATTGTAAGAAGACTCGTGGGGTCTGTTTTTTGTGGTTGAATTAGTGTATACTTTTAGAACTTAAAGTGAGATAGGTATGTTTAATATTTGGTGAAAGCGGCAAAAAAGTTCTAATGCAGTCTAGTGCAGGAATAAAAAACAGACCAATGATGTAAGATTTTTTTTATGTCATGAAACAATCTACTAAGTTTTGTAATAATATTAAGTTTAGATTAAATACAGGGGTATGTATATCATTAATATCTCGTGCACGAACTTATACATATGCCATATGAGGAGCAGACTTTCAAAATGTGTTTTGTTTTCAAAATTTATAATTTTCTGAGAATGAGAGTAGAGTCCCATGAGACGTATTTGTCGCGTATCGCGTAACTAATCAATATAAGCAATAGGCCTGTTCTTTTTGGCTGAACTTTTGCACCAGTTCATCTTTTTTCCTCTTAAAGAGAAAAGGAAGAAAAATGAACTGGTGCAAAAGTTCAGTCAAAAAGAACAGGCCTATTAAAACGCGAAACCACACAACAGCGGATCGCTTCTGATTGGTTACGCGGTACGCGGCAAATACATTTCATGGGACTTCCTCTGGTGAAAATTATTCTCATAATTTTTATAGGAATTGGAACATTTTTCAGAAATATTCAGAAGTATTTGAAAAGTTTACATCTTCTCTCAAAATTTTTCAAACAAATGAATATTTGTATAGGATGACACACGTATGACTTGATAATTTGATATTCGAGAATTATGTGGGTCAATTGTAATCATTTTAGTCTCAAATTTTACAGATTTCACAGACTTTTAAAATTATGCCCAGATTGATGCCCCTCCGTCATTAGAGGGTAAGCTGGGGGATTAAAAATTTCAAGTATCTTTGATCAACTTTTTTGGATTCTCCGTATTGGTTCCGTCATTTTGTTTTTTGTAATTTCGACTTCAGATTTGTATTCAGTGTGATATCAAAAACTCTTATATACCAACTTTCGTAAAAATCGTTATCGTCGTCAATATTTCTTTTTTTTTTTTTCGTTTAATATGAAATTGATTGCCACTCTCTTCATTGTTGTGCATATTTTAATCGTATATACACGGGGATACAAATGCCTTTTCATGTCTTCCCATTCCTTCTCATGCTTCTCTTCTTATTTCTTTTGATACCTTCTCTGATATGCGTGCAACTTCGGATGTTGAGGCATTTATTCCCGTGTGTATCTCGTAATTTTGCAATCTGTAAAGCCAATTCAAAGATATTACTGAAAAAATGTAGATATTTCTTTCACTTTAGAATCCCTGTAATCACAAGAAAAATTAAGGTTAGGTGCTCAAGGAGTTAATAATGTTTTAAAACTTTTTTTAGCAATTCATAAATCTCTTTAAACATTTGTTCGAATAAATAAGATCACAAATCAGATTAGTATCAGGTTACACATAAAAAATACACAATATATCGTTTAGATCTGCGAATGTTACTAATTCCTCTTTATTTTGAGAAAAAACAAAATTGTACATTGCATTCGATTTAAGATGCTTGATAGGTAATATATTGTGCTTAAAACAAAAATATGGTGTTTACGATACGTCTTTATTTTTCTTTTTCTTGTTAAATAAGTTGCGATATAATATAGGTATATCCTTTTTTACTCATTTTTTACTTTAATTACTTTATATTCACTTACTTATTTATTCGTCGTTCATTTTCTTCAATTATAACAGCACTTAATAAATTAAGTTACTATTTAAGACGCAAACATCGGGAGCGGATATTTGCTAATATGAATACGGCTATTCAGTTTTATTAAATATGAATTAATTATGTTAAATACAAGTATGCTTATGCATTGCGGTTTCATAAAAAACATCGTTTCATAACTTCAATAGAAACACGTTAGATGCCGTACGGACTTTGGCTCTTGGGCCGGTATTCATAATCAGTTATATTCTTATATGCAAAATCGTCTTAAGTTCAATCTTGAAATGTCATAAACCAATCAGAGAGCCGCATTAGCGTCTTAGGATATTACTTAAGACGATCTTGAAATAAGAACCGACTATGAATACAGGCCTTAGTATTACACGAGTCTAAACCTGTCTAAAACTGTACGTACAATAATATGCGACAAATGCAATTTTCGATATATACTAGCAACAAAATATTTGTGCATCTCTTTAAATACAGCTGATTTCATTTTGTGCACGTTAATATAACGTCGTTATTATATTCTAATCACTAAACGTATCTAAAAGAACATATTTACTCTAAATCCAAATATTATGAGTTATAAAAGTTTGTTACTGAGCTTTAACATTAATCACGGCATTCAACGTGTTAATAAATAGAATTGTTCTGTATTTTTAATTAATATGAATACGTCATGATGTTGACCTGACGATCTGTTTCGCCCAATTAAGTTCAAGTTAGCTACCAAACAAAATTTCAAAAGTCATAGTCAATTGCGTGTACATATACATATTTATATCTTTTTTTTTATTTAATTTTTTGTTTCAAATTAAAGCAATGTAACTTTTCCTTTTTTAAAAGTGTCGATAATAGCGATGGCAGTGGATACTAAATCTCTCGTTTTAGAATTGCGAGATTCCTCTTTCTCTCACTCATTCCCTTCTTTTCCTTCCCTCGCTCTTTTCTCGAAATTTTAATTGTTTATTACTTTTTAACTAAAGATACGCAAACAAAAAATCGGCCTGTTTCGAAATGTGCAAACAAAAATCTATCGATTAAGACTATTTCAAACTAATTTGTTACTAATAGGGAGGGCTAGTGTGATGTTAGCTACCTAAAATTGTTTTTTTGAATAACTTTTTTACTGCAAGTGTGCAAACAAAAATTCGAAATGTGCATATATGTGCACAGTGATGAGCAGTCGAACGAGCTGTAGAAAATTAATTTTTTGTAAAGTTCAGAGCTAAATTCACATGAGTGCACTACCAATGAATACTTGTAATACTGTTGGTAATGTCTATTTCTCATTATGTAAAATTAATCGAATTCTCCATTTAATCAAAATCTAATGACTGCAAATGTCGGATGTGT